GAGCTTGATTGGAAAAAGCAAGTTTTGAGGGAGTTGTAAAGGAGTATTGCACCTTGCCTGTCCAAGTATGCACAGTCCAGGGATACAATCTAATTGGGCACTTAGACATTTCTAATTTGGCACTTTAATAATCAAGAAGCAATGCCCAGGTTAGTGCCAGGTCTGAATGCCTGAGTGAGCCTTCTAGGTTTTCTGTACTCCTGTGCATTGCTAAAGAATACCCAACATGTTACGTGGTCTACTGCAGCAGTAATTCACTAACCATGATGGAAAGCATTCAGAGGTGGCTGGAGTTGAAGCAAGGAGGACAGACTACATGATTCATGCTAGCTACCAGATGTCTTGGCAGGTCCACATATCGTGCATACCAGCACACAAGTGAAACCTTATGCCCTACACTAATGACTGTGAACCCTGCAGAGCTTTCACAGATACTAACAGGCCACTACGACACATATGCCATAGGTTTGCCACCACTGTCTTACCTACAGTCCCATACTTGGCCATGTGTAAGGCTAAGGGAGTGAGGGAAGGCATAAATAAGGATATATACCATAATGTATCCTAATTTTATCTTCAAAGGTGACCATGATACTAATTTTGGCATAGCAATAATTTTTATACCTTAAAATGTTTAACATTTTCTATTCCTAAATAATCTTTAATTGAACAAATGTGCCTCAAGTGAATTAAGATAACCTACAAATATGGTCTGTGGATTCTCAAAGGAAGTACAGAAAAAAATTCTTATTCTACATTTGATGATTTGGTCTAATATGCCTTTAAGATGTCAGGATGTAACATTGAAGGGTGTCTAAAAAGTGATTTGACGCATGAAAAGTAATGCATGTCAAGATGTTACTACCCTGGAGAAGAATCTTGACAATAAAATGCCACAACTTGAGTTTAAAGATAAAGACGAACTGATTCATGACAGAGAAGCAAGGTGAGAGTAGCTTTTTAAAGAAGTACAGGAAGTTAAAATATTTGTTTTCTTGCTTATTAAAGCTATGTTTGAAACTTACTACCATTATTACATAACTTGCTATTCATCTTCAGTAAATTAGAATGAAAAGTATGGGATGTCATGACTTAAATTAGCATACAGAAAGTGACAAGGTATTAAGGTATTTGACAAAAAGTAACTTGGCCTTTAAGGCTAAAGAGAACATTGTACATTACTAAGAACAACCCTAGAAAGTGTTTATTATTTGACATTCTGGAAGATTATCAATGGGAACTTGATTATGTAACACCTTTCGTTTTTCTATAGGACATTGAGGTATAAATTACAGTAAATTAGATATAATTTCCTTTGAGATGTCTAGGAAAATTTCCTAAATGCTCTTGAGATTCCCCAAAAAATCTCAGTGATTGGAAAACTTAAGTAAAAAATACATGTATCATTAACTATAGATTTATATGAAAAATTAAATAACTGATTCTGTGAGTACTAATATGAACTATATTTATTTAATTATGAATTAATTAATGGTATAAACT